CCAAACCAGACTATAAAGCAATATGAGAGGATGCTCTCAGTCGTCCCTCTATAGAAAATGGTAAGAACGGGGGAAGGAAGAAGTACTTTTCTCACGCAACACAGAAAATGCAGTCACAGAAAATGCAGTCGCTGTTGTGCCCTCTTCACCAGTGAAGTCGTCGTTAGATCACTCAGGTTTGCAGCTGCTCCTGAACTGCTGAAAAATCCTGGTGGCATCATACCCACAGCCTGTCAGTTTTAGAAAGTAAACATGCTAGGACTGTTCTCTAAAGTTTGTTGGTTTGTTTAAAAAAAGGTTTGGGAGAAACTATGAGAACTGCAGAGGTATCCATGTCTAATTATATTGAAGAGCCTCCTTCAGACCTCTCTCATGTAGGTGCAAAGAATACACACTGATTATGTTGAACAAAGAAATAAAGTGGCTGGTGTGAGTGGGGCTAGGAGAGACATAAGCCCAGCCGATTAAAGAATATGTAGAGTTTAATGGGGTGAGTTGGTTTTATTTTGCTTTTTCTGATTATTGTGAACCACTTAGGATTATACTGTATAAGATAGGTAGCCATATAAGTTTCTAAATAAATAAATGTAAAAACTTTGTTTACAGACTTCTCAAAATGTTTTTTCTTAAGAGTGTTTACTGTGTAGTTTTATTCATCCCTTTCTCTTGGATTTCTCCCATGATAGAAATTGTCTGCTGTCATACAAATAATTCTCATAAATTAAATATAAATTATCTATGTATTAAAATATTTGATAAAATTATAGAAAATATATAAAATCTCTACTATGGTAGACTTTAAAGCAGTATAGTCAAAATAAATCATGCACTTTAATCCCGTTATGTAATCATTCTTAAAAGTTGCTAAACAACAAATAATTAAAGTTACAGTTTTAGTTGTAATTCTCTGATTATTTACTGCATTGTTACTCTTCAAAATGTACCTAGGTCAATAATGGCAATCAAAGCTAACGCAAGAGGCTACTCTGTTTGAAAATCTTAATTTATTAAGAGAAAAATTTAACAACCTTTAAGAGAGGTATATAGGTTAAGTGTAATGCAGTTCATGGTAGTCATTTGAGTCTTCATTTTTTACTATTTACAGAAAGTGCATTAGCTCAACATTTTACATAATGTACAGCAATAAAAAATAGAATTGTACATATATTTAATAAATTATTTCACACATAAAGATTACATTTAATGTCCCACAGTCAATTTCTTTGTCAAAATATTAAGTATTGAAAGTACAATGGACTCGGTTTTAATTCCACGGTGATGGTAAAATTTCAGTATATAAAATCATTTTATTAATTAAACAGAAAAATAAAAATGCATCCCCTTACTAAATCATTATAGAATTCCAGTGCTATTAATGGGAGAAAAATCCTTTTACTTCAGTAAAGATATACTAATGGTGCCCAATGCTACATATAATATTCTCAAGCAACTGCATCAGGAGGGCTTTCAGTGAAAGGACCCCAACCATTGCCATTAGAATTATTGTCTTTTTCTTCTTAGGGAACAGCTTACACATTTTTTTAAAAAAATGATTCCACCCTTGATGGGGAAAAACACATACGCACACACCAAAACCTATTATGAATGGAAGACATCTTGCCCTCATAAAATCTCAAATAAAAGATAACTCTATTTTTTTCTGACAATTCTTTTAATAATCTCAGGAAGCAATATATTTCTAAACGTAGTCTCCTTAATTAATGCCATTTCTTTGGGATCAGTACAGCAGTGTTTGCCATTGCCTTCCTTCCGGGATATGTTCAAGGCTCCCCAGTCTAGCCTGTAACCCTGGCGTTTTGTGGGGGACCTCTATCCAAGTGTTTAGTCAGTCCAATCCTCCTTAGCTTTCCAATATCATTGAAGGATTTTCATGAGGAAATTTAAAGATATTGAATCCAGGCTTACATTATGCTTATCAAAGCTGAAAATTCTAATATTTACGTATTGGCTGATAAATAAAAATGGTGACATGTGTTAAGGATACATTTACATGCATACTTTTTTAAAATATAATTTTTCAATTGCTTGGTTATATTTATTCAGTATTTGTCTAATTTAAGAGTTATATTCATTAGAGTGGAAAGAAAATTTGATCAATCTACACTTTTACATACATCATAAACACATACAATTTAGTTTTATGCTTAACTGTACCATTACATGTTTGCTACAATTCTAAAAATTGTTTAAAAAATAATTATAACGAGATATGTGTATCTCTTGTTCAGCTGATAATTCTTCTAATGTATGGAATTATGTGATAAATATCAATACAAAATATATATTTTAATTTCCTTTCTCAATAGCAAAATGCTGCATTAAAATATGCAGTACTCTGAAAATACTATGCATTTCTTTTAATAACTATACATTTATCCATAGTTACAAGTTCAAAGACTATGACAAAATAAAAAAGAATCCAAATCAGAAAATAAAAATCAGTGTTCTACTAGACGCTCACAATTATACTCACAATTTAGAATATAGATAACAAATGAACTTGTAACATTATTAAGCAGAATATTGATAGTACTTAAAATCCTCAAGATTTCTAAGCAATGTTTTTATAACCCAATTCTGTATCAAAATCTGCCACCAGCAAAACTTTTAGAAGCGTATCTATCACCTTATAACAACTTTGTGACTCTGGGCTTGGACTATACAGCATTGTTTTTGATTTGGATATTGTAATGTTGAAAAAGGAAATAATGTGATCTTACCAGATATTTATAAAAAGAAACATGACTAAAGCCAGTGTTCTATAGCATTTTCCTAATTGTGTTAAATATAATATTTCAGTAGAGACAAACTGTAAAAGGCTAATAGTTTTTTTTTCTTTACCTATCCTTTATTTTTCCAATCTTATTTGTTATAGAATAATTTTGGAGAATAACCTTTTATGATTATTCTAAAAAAATGATTTCCAAGAAGTAAAAATAACATGCATGTGTTAACCCAAATACGCCATTCATGCTTCTGAGATAAAAATACAAGCATGCATTTAAATTTCAATTCAAAACAGCTGTTTCCCATTTTACCTTGATCTGGCAGAACACTTGATTTGTGTTTCATATACTTTTTATGAGGTTCATAGGTAGAGCTAAAATAGCAAAAAAGAAACAAAGTACTCAAGAACATAATTAAAAGGACTTAAGATATGATGCTAAAAGCATTTACTTTAATTTAGGAGGAAAAATGAACCCAAGCAAACTTCTTGAAGAAATGCAGCTGCTTGTGAAAAAAGAGAACAATAAATACAATGGTTAATACTTTTCAAACGTATCAACTTTTATCATAGCAGTTTAGCTGTGAATTTCTTTCTGATAATACTTATTCTGTTTCTGATAATACTATTCTTATGTTTTGGCACACGTGCACAAGTACAGGCATGTACCATATTACACATGTGTGCAGCAAAATCTCTTTATTTCACTTTAAAAAGATATAAAATAACCAAAGCAATGGGCTATTTATTCTGTGATATGATGTATCCCAAAACAAAATTACCAGATTCACTCAAAATTTAGCCATTTAACTAAATGTTGCAACATTATACAAATTCACCAAGTGATTTTCATGATTAAAAAAATGTGCAATTCAGTGTAATTGAATCTAATCTGATTTGCAGTATTGGAGTCTAATCCACTGGAATTCAAAAAGCCGTTGGGACTTACCAACAATTCTATTAAGCATTCTTTGTTGGTTTACACCAAGGTGTTAACTGTTACTGTCACACCCTAGAAATTCTGTCACGCAGATTAGGTTATTACAAGCTAAAAGAGAAAGCATGTCTTATGGGAGGAGAGGTTCATTTCATTATCTTATACATTCATACGTAGATGATCACGAGAATTTACATTTCAATTGCAGTAAATGTAATATGGCCGAATTTGTTGAATTCAGATACAGTATTCCCTTTATTTTTACAGCCCTGTGGAGAAAGATGCTAATATGTGTAAGTTAAGCAGACCTCTTATTATCAGAAGCAGTGAATTCTAAAATTATATCCCAAAGTAAGCTTTGAGCACCTTAACAATCTCAACGGAAAATTTGAAATGATATAAATTCCTTCAGAATTTTCATGTCTTACTGTGAAAGTGACAATCTGAATTTTATTTTCTGTACATTACCTTAAAATTCACAAAAATGAAGCCCAAAGCCCAAAAATGAGGTTTTGAAACATATCCAACCTTGTGATATGAAGTTTTAAGTAATTTTATGTATGGCATGCATTTTAAAAATATCCATCAATTGTGAGACCAATCTATCACGAAGTGAACTATCAAACTGTATGGATGTTGCATTAAATGAATGAGATCATTTGGAGGTTTATAATTTGTCAATATTGTATGAACCATATTGTAAATAATTGAGATTAGGCTCACTGGTTGATGTGAGCATTTCTTTTGATCCAAACTGAAAATTCTATTACAGAGCTTTCATTGGGAACATCCTAAGAAACTAATCTATCAAATTAAGGGGAACTTATAAGTTGCTCTAGCAGGAATAAGCTCATTTATTAAAGAAAAACGGGCCGACCATCTAATTTGTGTGCATGTGATTTGGAATAGCCATTATTTTAGTTTTGTAGATGTCTCACTACATAGTCATTTCTTCAAACTGTCACTTTTTCCCTTTTCCCCATTTTTATTTTCACATTAATATTAATTAGATTTAGAATTTACATAATGTACATTTGGACTTAGAAGTTTGTGCTTTCATAGGACTCAGAATATTACTTACCATAGCTTTTTATTTAGGAACCTGTAGGAAAAAAATCAGTGCCATGATCAGGTTTTGTTTTGTTTTTTAGAAATATAGCATTAGTAGCATTTGCTTAATGGAAACAATTTTTGCTTGAGATCCATTTCAAACTGCAAGCTTATTCCATACAGCAAGAGGAAACTGCACAAAAAGATTAAGAATGTACAATATTTTACATTTTTTTCTTTTAAAAAGGGGAGAAGACAACTAAATGATTTCTCAGTATGTATAATTTATTGCAGTTAGCACACAATTTAAAAATTCACCAACACACCAATAGTACAAAACTAAACAGCATTATAAGTTATTCCCCTCCCCCTCATGAAAATAAAACATACTATGATTGTCAAGGCTAGATGTCAGTCTAATTTTTAAAACCAAAAAATAAAATAAAATGTGAAACTAAAGGGCAACTAACCCCCCCCAACAATCACTCATGTCCACAAAAAAATAAAAAAGCATAAGTAGTCCATTTTTTCCAGACACTGATTGTCTTTTCTAAATAAAAACAATGAATTTTTAAAACCTAGAGACTGTTCAAGTAACTAAAAATAATGCTCCAAGGCCATTTTCACAGCTTTTTTTGTTGTAAATGCCATTACAGCCAAATTAATATACATTTGACCAAAATATTTCCAAAACAGTCCAGCAATACACAATGGAGTTTTCCATTCAATTTCTTAAGCACAAAAATAGGCTATGTTTACAGTAGTTAAGGCGATCAAATTCTAAACAAAAGCAGAAAAAAAACATTTTCCATGCTACTCTCATAGACCTTATTTGTAAGTGCAAGACAGGAAAACATACACTGTGCAAAATGCTTTTTGCCCTACGTGTTGATCATTAAAACCACACGTCAGGCTGCAGTCTTTGCTGTTTGGATACACAGTTCACAAACCCTCCCCCAACTTTTCTCCCACCACCTCCCCACCCTGTCCCATGTCAATCAAGGTTTTTAGTTCTTTTAGCCTGGGGCTTTTTCACTCCATAGAATCTTTTGAAGTGGCAAATAAAATGAACACCTATTGTTTATTTGTGCAGCAGGAATTCTAAAAATGCTCACATGGGTAAGTATATGCATCTAAGGTTGGAGCTGGCATGGGTTTGTGCAATCATTTTTTAAATAAATGTTCACTGCACATGCAAATCTCTACGTCTTGTAAACATTACTATCTTCCTTTACATAGCTAAAATCAACATATAGTGTTTGTTCAACTTAAAGACAATGGGTAATTAATTTAAATTATATAAAATAAAAGCAGTGCATTTATGTTCTTCGTAACACCAGGTTTTTTTTTCTGGTGCTTTTCCTTACTAAAAATTAAATAAGTTTTTAAAATCACTCATTAAAGTTATACAATGCAAACAAAGACAAAAATATACCGAAATGCATGCATTTCTGTAGCATTAATATTTACTTTCGAAGACTTAACTTAGAGCATTAACACAACTTGTCAATTTCTTTGACACCCCCCCAACCCTTTTAATCAATTACAGTATATAACAGTAATTCACATTTTAAATGCAGTTTGCAACTGCTGAAAATGCAACATCCTTTTTCATCCCAAACACGCCTTCAGAGTCCCCATGATTCCAGTGTATTTTCAAATTTTTCTTTCTTTTTTTAATTGTGGGAACTATTGTAGTTTACAAATTACAATATAATAACAATCACTTTTGAAAAATTGATACTCCAGTCATTTAGAAATCATATCGCTTGGGTCTAAAAGCATTCAGGTTTCCCTGAGCTAGAATAGATGCATGCAGTATAAAAAATTTAACTGAAGTGATAAAAAAGAACTGGAGATTACTGATTTAAGTGGAGATTGAAATGATGCAATGTTGTAAATAATGTTAAATAGACTCTAACAATCGCTCTTGATCAATTGCAGTTATTTTTAAAAGAAGTACTTACTTGGTGGGGAGACAGGGGAAGGTTTTATGAAGTTTATTTGTCTTATTTCTATAGTTCATTATCAGAACACTAAGTAGTGAAATGTTCATGCTGCTTTAAAGTGCATAAAACAAGCTAATGGCCAAACTTTGTTAGTTTAAGGAAACAAGACTGCTTTTAGACTGTACCACAACTATATAGATTTATATAGATATATAGATATATATATATTAATTATATATATAAAATTCTATTTCCAAAGTTCTTGAGAGCTATCTTCTAATGTCCAGTCTCTGACAGTAGGTAAGCTCAGTGCTTCACTTTTGACAGACAACGAGTTCACTAGTTCACAGTGAAACTTCCGAATATGCCTGTAAAGGTCTCCAGACTGGGTGAACCTCCGCTCACACCACTTACAAGCGTGTGGCTTCTCCCGTGTGTGAACTACGGCATGGCGGCTCAGATTGTGGGAATACTGGAAGCTCTTTCCACACTGAGTACAAGTGTATGGTTTTTCACCTGAATGAGTCCTCTCGTGACGTTTCAAAGTGTACATGCAAGAAAAAGTCTTACCACACAAGGAACAGGTTGGGACATTGACATCAGCGGCAGGCTTACTGCGGATCCCGTCCTGCTCTCGAAAGTGCGTACTTAAGTGAATCTGCAGGATGTGGGGACTAGGAAAGACTTTGTTGCAGAGGGGGCACATAAAAATTTGGCCTGCAGGGTTAAGTATGTTGGAGACATAAGGGAGCAGACTGGTGTCCATGCTCCCTTCCACCTGAACTCTCTCATTCTCTGGAGTTATGATTTCATCATCACTGGCTTTGTCCTCTCTATCTAGTTCCCTCAAAACAGAATCGTCTCTCATAGGAGCCAGATGGGCTGGCTCATATGGTACCCTGTTATTAGTGCTCACACTTTCTTTCACAGTGCTATGCTCCATGTCATAGTCATTAGTGCCAACATCACTCTCATCACAGGATGCCTCTTTTTCCACTTTCACCTGCACCAAGTTGTTTCGCATCATATCCTGTGAAGAGAAATACGAATTGTTCAAATTCTCAACTCCAGAAAGGCTTGACTTCACAGACAAGTCCAGGACACAGTCAACATCTGTTGAATCCCTCATGGAGGTGACAGACCTCTGGGACAAAGACTCTGTTGAGCTGCAGGGGCTGGCTACTGTTTTCCCAGCTGCTGTTGCATGTGTGTCTGGTTCCCCACCGCTCTGGGGAATCACTCCGGAGTCCGAGGGCAATCTCATCCACATGTTCCCAGGCTCAGCCGTTAAGTCCCTTTTGATGGGCAGGATGCTCAATTTTTCATCTTCCCCTTCATCTTCATCACTGGGTATGTCTCCTGCAATGTGGCTACTGCCGTCAGAAAGACTCTCCACTTTGTCCGAACAACTTGAGGCATCTTCTTCCTTTTTAGTACTGTCTGCCTCGGTGGTGGCTTTTTCTTTTAGTTTCTTTTTGCAAACTTTAACAATGTCGTACATGTGAAGGTAACTGGCAGCTGCGAGCACGTCTTCAATGGGCAAATCTTTGAATTGGAGTTTCCCTTCATACATGAATTCAAGTAGGAGAGCGAAAGCTGGGGCTGTAACAATGTCGCTGTTCAGATGAACAATGTCTCTTTTGTCCAGCTGGTCCTTGTAAAATAGGTGGAAGTACATGCTGCATGAAGCCAGTACAGCTCTGTGTGCTCGGAATTGGGCATCTCCTACCAGAACAGTGCAGTCACAAAGAAAACCTTGATGCCTCTGTTCCCTCAGACACTGTAGTAAATGCCGGCTATGGTCAGGGAACTCCATGCTGTCTTCATAACCTAGGAGCAAAAAAGATTTAATTAAACACTGGAAATATTCATTGGCTACATTTGATAATTTGGCAATGGATACAAAGATCCAAACTAAGGTTCTGTAAAGAAATGGAAATAAATTAAGATTTTATGACTTTCTGTTCATCACTTTTTGCAACTTTCAGAGTTCTCTATTAACCGTTTTGTTAACTGTAAAGAAATAGACTGGGAGATGCAGATGAAAATGAATATTCAGAACTTGAAAGTTACAACAGCCTTTTACTATTTGAATTCAGAAGCAGATATCTATGATATGACTTGCTTAATCCTAGAAAGGGGAGGGGGGTTTAAAAACTAAACTGATTTAAGATGACAATAGCTTCTAAACTGTCTTGGCACAGATCATCGCTAGTCTCATCTGTGAATGCCAGTTTTTCCATTTTCTTTTTCAAACAAAATAACTGATTACCAGACATCCCCCTTTAAAAATACACACAAAATGCAAACTCTTAATCTTTTTTTTTTAAGCCTTTAATATAAAGACTCTTCTATTAGGACTGTCCTATGTTATTGCTGCATATCAGTTGAAACAATTTAAGCATAATTCAGTAATCTTTTCTCCCTTTGGGGTCATTGTGTAACCATTCAAAATGAGCATTAGACTTTTCTAAATATCTTAAATATCTTCTTTATTTTCTACTACCGGTACTTACAACTGAAGTTGTGCTAAACTAGTTACATACAGCTGTATGTAACTAGAACATTATATGTTCTTAAAGTTACACTCTGGTCCAAAGTATATTCTACTGTTAGAATAAAGCAAGAAGATTTACAATACAATCACTTTAAGTGCCCCACAGCCAACATCAATCCTAATCCTTAAGAGGGCTAAAAATAAAGATTGGAGGGCAGCTCACAAGGTAGCTGTGATCAAATTAGGAGGCTGAAAGGACAGAGAGGGACGAAGAAGGAAGCTTATAAACATCTGATCCAGCTGACTGTGGCCATATGGCAGCTGCTGCCCAGATAAAGAGATTAAGAATAGAGGAGTGCGATTACAGCTGTCTGGCCAATTCAGGCAGCTCAAATCTACAAGTTCTAAATTAGTTGTGAAAACAAAACCTTTCCTTCAGTTATTGTTGTACTGAAATAAACTTTAATATATTTCCAGGGAGAAAAATAGGGTGAAAACTAACTAGTTTCAAGGTAGGTGGGATCCTAAAGGTGCATAGACATTCAAGTCCTTTTTTTTTCAAAGGGGGGGGGGGCTATAGATTTCAAGATCCCTCAATGGCTTGGGCAAAGCATAAATGTGAATAGTATAAATCGTCATGCATATTCATATATATTTTTTATTTCTATCAATGTATCATTTCAAGTCTTATTTTCATATTTTTACTTTTAGAAACAGTACTCCTAGAACAGTCATCATAACTGCAATACCAAAATTATTTCCTAAACTATAATTTTTTTTCAAGTGCTCATAATAAAAATAGGGGAACTACATCATTTAAATAGTTATTTTAATATTACTGCACAGGAACAAATGCATCAACATGTATTTAAAGTCTTAATTACAATAGAAATTGTTATTCCCTTTTCAATGAACCCTACTTATTTTTTCCTAAACATCATTAAACAAGTAATGGGATTTTTGTTTGGAAATTAAATAAACAAACATCAAGAGAGAAGAAGCACACTGTAGCTAGCCTCCTGCTGTTCCTACCTTTAGCACACATAAACCTGATTAAGTCCTTTTGTCCGAGTCTTGCTGGCTCCAGGTCTGTTAGATCGGTGGAAAAAAGCAGACTAAGAAAGAGACAGATGCAAAGTGGAGATGATGTTAGAGAGGAATGAGATACCTTCCCTACACACAGATCTGCAAACACACTCACTCCCTGTCTGTGTGTTAGAATAAAAGGCTGAGGGATGGCAGGCTGTCAGCTGCTCTGACATCATGTTCAGATGGAAATGTTACCTCCAGCTGTGCTCCTTTTAATGCCATATGCTACTCCTCTACACTCCTTCCACCAGCTTTTTCTTAAGAGAACTTTTCTTGTCTGTTAGTATAAACAAATACTTCAAAGTCTCTTTTTTAAAAACTTTCTAACAGAGAAAAGTAAAGGGGGAAAAAAACCCTTAGACATATGGGGCTTCATTGCATGTACAGTATAGAAACCTTTCTGTCATAACTTTGAAGGGTTTTTTTTTATATTGAGAACTTACCCATCTATTTTTTACTGAACCCAGAGGTTCATTTTAAGCAATTCATTTTACCTAACGTATTTATCTTGTTACTCAGTTCATCTTTTCTATCGATTTAGAAGGAACAGACTTAGAAAAACCTGATATATATAAATACAATATGAATGCAATTGTATGTTAACTCATTTTACTCATTAATGATGTAACAATTGCTTATATTTTTATGTACCATAAGGAGCACTTTTCTGGGCACTTATAAGTCATCTACATGCTCAATTTGCTCTACAGATCATACTATTGCAAATATAAGAACAGAAATAATAGTAATATTCCCCTCCTCATAATAAATTTCTAAAAAGTGCAGTTATTTCAAGGAGTGATCATATAAAGCCTCTGGCATTATCTATGGAATGTAACTGAATACTAAGTTTGCTATTCATTAGTAAGGCAATAATATCATGCACTTCAAAATTACCATTTTCATTCAGTATGTGTATATTAAACCTATTTTTAGAATGGAAAAAAATTAATGACCTCCCTTAACTTCACAGGAAAATACTGTGAGTAATCGGGAAATAAACTAAAATGAAACAAGCTGTTCAGCCCAGCAGAATAAACAAGTATCCAGCTTGCCAGTCTTAGGCCACAGACAATGTTTAATTAACAAAGTTTTCTGCACCATTTACTCATAACTTTCCCCCATCTCATTTTATTATGGTAGCTGGTTAATTCAAGCAAATTCTCTTTTGACTCTGTTCTTAATAGAATTTTACAAATAAAGCAAAAGTTCTGGGTGAATATTAGACAAACACAGCATGGCAGATGACCCTATTGTGATTTTCCCCTTTCACCTTTCATAGTGACATGAACTTGAAGATTAAGTCAGCTATAACTTCATTTATCTCCTGACACATTGCAAAGTGTGTCAAGATTAAATAAGTAAATGCACAGAAGGTGGAAGACAGCACAGACAGGAAAGAAGGAAGCAGGCAAATACAGGAACAGTAGTCAATGGAATAACAAAAGGAAAGTAAGGAGGAAGAGCCGAATGCAAGTGTTCTGGGAGGGAGCAAATCTCTCTCTCAGCATCCACCCTGCCTTGTCTCCACAGCTGCACTGCTCTCCACATCACCTACCCCTTCTGACCTTTTGAGCTGTGAGACAAAACACACACTGCACAGCCTCTGCCACACACAAAGGACTCCCTCTCTGCTCCCCCATCTGCTCCCCAGCTCAGCCCAATCCCCCAGCAAACCCACCCCCCCTCCATCTCCCATCCTGCAAGTGAGGCTGTAAACTCTGAACCTTGCAGCAAACTTACTTGGAACTTGCTCCTTACTCTCTCTCCTGCAGTTACAAAATCTACTCTGAAGCTTACTCTCTTCCTCTCCTCTTATGAAAGCCCCGTCCAGGATACACGCCTAAGTCCACTTGAGACTTTTCCCATCCAAGACAAGCTGCCCGCTCTCCAGCCCATTAAACCCGGACCCTCCTCTCTAACTATCTCCATACGGGGTTTGTTCCAAAAAATGCCATGTCTCTCTCTCTCCCCCCACACTTCACATCCCACAGATCCCCTCCTTTTCTCCACCTGTTAAACCCTCCCCTCCCCACCCCCACCCCAGATCAGCTCACTTTAAGCGGCTCTTCAGGGTGACTCAAGGCATCCTTCTCTCTTCCTGACACCTATCTGCTCGCCCTGTCCCCGGTGCCACTTGCCCCAAAGCTGGCCAGTTGTCCCATAACAACCTCACACACACTCCCCGCCCCCCCGCGCGGCAACCCCAGCACAACAAGCAACCTGCGGCTCTTACTCCTTCCTTAGCAACACGGGACGGCTTCCGCGCACCCGGCCGCCCCTCTCCGCCCAGTCCCCGCGGGGTCAGCCCCCGGGACTCACACTCTGGAGCGGCCCCAGGTCCCAGCCGCGATCCTCCCTGCGCCGCTTCCTCCTCCTTCGGCCGCCACTGCCCCCTCCGCCGCTGCGGGCGCCCCGTCTCCCCGCCCGGCGTCCCGCTCGTTCGTCCTCCTCCCCTCGCTCCAAGTCCGCGAGTGAGTGAGGGGCCACCAAAGCGGGGCAAGGCGAGCGGGGCAACGGGGAGAGGAAGGCAGGGGAGGGAGCGAGGGGGGCTCCCCGCGCTGTCTCAGCGGCGCCCCATGGCAGCGCCCCGGAGGATCCCGGGCCGGCGGCGCGGGAGGGAGGGAGAGGGGGCGGGGAGTCAGGCGCACACAGCGCAGGAGCACGCGCGGCGGCGGCACAGACGGGGCCCGGGCTGCGGCAGCCAGATGTTTCCTCCCCTCCCCTCCCTCTTCCCTTCCTTCCCCGAGCAGTTTCCCTGACTGACAGCGCAGCTGGCTCACGGCGCTGCCTAGTCCAATCGGCAAGAAAGAAAGTCGTTGATCGACAATGGAAGCTCGCCCAATGGCAAGAGAAGGAAGCGAAGCGAGCTCACCGTTGTGGCTAATCAGCGTTTTCGGGGTGGGTTTATTGGCTCCACAGGCGTGTTGCTGATGATTGAGAAAGGGGCGGGGTTTTGTAGTCCCGGGTCAGTCCGCGCGTCCTTCGCGCTTCTTCACTGCAGTCTCCTCGGCCGCGAGAGGAGCGCGGGCCTCGGGCTGGCTGTCTCTTTTCTCCCTGGGCGCGGTGCATGGTGGGGAATAATGGCTATGGGTCTCTGGTGGGATAGGCTGAAGGTAACACGAGTGAAAGGCGAGGCCTGCCTGGAGGCTGCCTGAGCTTGGAGATTTGGCGGCGGTTCTGTACCGCTTGCCGTTGCTGGGCTACTCGTCAGGAGGGCTTTTCCGCCAGATGTGCCAGCTCTTTTTTTTTTTCCAAAACAGCGGAGGAAAAAAAAAAATCCGTCCCATAACTTGACGAGCTTTTTTCTTCTGCCCAACGGATTTTTTTAGTTGCTTTTCTGCCATTTAACTTCTCGTCACTTTTTAATGGTTCAAAGGACTTCTTGCTGTACCGCCTTTGTGCTGCACGGAACTCGCGGTTTCCTCTCAGTCTTTTTATGACTCTGTTTAACAATTGAGAAGAATTTCTCATAAGCTTTGCAGATGCACTTCTCTCAGGAAGGCAGAAATGCGACCGTTGAGCTTTTCCTCTTACAAAAAACGAGGGAGTGCTTCGTAATTGTCTTGCGGAATTCTTAAAAGGAGTAGAAGTCATTTTTATTTTTAGAGTAAAATGAGTACGATTGTACGCTATGTTTTCATCGCTACTCATTAAATAAATCTTAGGGGGAAACTCCTGTCCTTCCGCCCTCTCAACCCGTAACTTTCCTGAATTAAAAATGGAATTGTAGCTGCTTCAAAAGTGTAATTTTAATGAAAGGTCCAGACGATATTGCCCCTTTGTAACCTCTTGCATTTTCCTATAGTGTTACAATTCTTTTTTCTTTGCCATTCACACCCAAATATGTTGAATGTGAGATCGAATAGCTGTGGAATTGTGTATTTTGATAGTTGGTACTTAGGAGCTGTCCATCTGGACGAACCACCAACCAAAGTCAAACCTATGGGGGTGGTCATTTATATATTGCTTTAAAAGAATAAAGGAAGGTGTTAATCTGCATATACTTAGCATGCTAGTTTACATGTAGAAATGGAAATGGACTGTTTGAATTCAGATAAATCATAATACAACTTAATGTAATGCTAAAGGCTTTGTCTTTGCTGCTGCCAGATGCTAATTGTCAGTGGGCAGTAGTATCTGAAAATACTCAGCTAGATGGCAGCACGTGGCTGATTGGGAAAAGCTGAGCAGGGACAATCCTGTTTACTGTTTGGATGGGAAACCACTAGAAAGTGGCACAAAAATGGGCTATATTGAGAAATCAAAAAAAAAGGGAAAGTTGGCAAATGGTTTTGATCAAGAAATTACTTGTATGTTTCTATGAAATCATTTGGAGCTTCATGAAAACTTTAATAACTAGCAAGAACAAGATTCTTAAGATAACTTCATTTTAAGTTCTGACAGCAGCCTTCAAAATAGTTGTGTTTGGAGCATGCACAATACATGAACAGAATTGGCTTTGCCATGTAAAACTGGCCTGGTATTGAATATCTAATAATTCACCTTCAGCGAACAGCTTATTAGTGCCAAGTTCACTAGGGAACATCTTTTGTGCTGCCAACAATAAGGGCTTTATATGAGGAAGAAACGTCAAAGTATAGGAGTTCTGTTTATATGGGAGCCTGTCTACGAACAGATATGTAGCTAGGGGAGATGGGCAGCAAACAAATATAAACAAATAAATGCAAAGATTACCTCTTTCCAGATGTGTTGTGTGTGCTTGGATGTCAAGTGTGCTCAACTTAGTCTTATCTCTGCTCAGTTGTGGTCATAACATAATGTCTAAAGAGTATCTGTGACTGTTTTATTATTACTTTTATCTTCCCATCTACCAGTAGCAAGTAGAATATTTGGACACCTTCATGAAGGGAGATGCCAGAGCTAGCTTGTCTGAAAAATAAGGAACTTTTTCTTGATACTTTTTCTTAATAATATTGTTTGCAGATCTCAGGCTTTGGAATACAAGTGCTTTTCAGAATGATTGTTTTTGCTTTAGATTGGAAAAAATGAGCTGAGTAGGGATGAAAGTTTGTACCCAAAGGTAGTAGAGTAAATTTGAAATAATACTGACAGGAAGAAAGGCGTTCTTGCTACAGAAGCTGTGCCCCCCCTCCCATTTTTTTTAACTTTTTCCTATTTCTCCTATTAAGAAAGGAGAGTAGAAAGGATTTTGAATGTGAGGTGGTGTACTTTTACCTTGCTTTTGCAGATAGCTTGTGCCCTCCAGAGCATTCTTCACTATGCTTATTTATGTTGATGCAGGCTGTTTGATATACTTCACTATTAGACACACACACACACACACAATGTGGCAATGGGAGTTATCTTGGTGCACACACTGGATTTTTGTTTTAATTACTTTAATAAAAAATAAAAGCAGGTCTGCTGCAAAGCAAGGCCACAATTATATAGCATCATAGATACTTGCAACAATGACATTTGGATCCCCAAATGGTCCCACTGTAGTGATACAGCATTGTGAGTGTGAACTACTTCCCTTCTGATAAACAGGTATTTGAATCCAGTAATGACCATCATGATAGAAGTTAAGGAAATTCTCCCATGGAGCAACTTTATAAATATAGTTACCATATGCTTTGCAAGATAGCCAGCAATATAAATTTAAATGCTTCCAAATGCATCCTTGACCCAAACATTGTTTATTCCAACTTAAAATGCTGTGTGAACACACTCTAACATAGACACAGAGAGATGCAATGTCTGTGAAATAAAATAAGATTATCACACAGAGTGTATTGGTTTATATTTGTAGCCATAGCATAGCTTAGTATTAAGTCATCCATATGGGAGATCAGGCCCTATGTTCAGTCCCCCCCTCCTTTGCTCGCTGAATAAATAAAAAAATACTTGTTTTGAAAAATATGGTCTGTGTTGTATATTTTATACAACATGGAAAACCAGGACATTTAAAGAATTAGTATGCTGTATGAGCCAAGAAACTTGAAAAGAGCTAAGTATTTTTGTTCATACAATATACTTGAGAGCACTTTAACCACACCTTGTACCCAAAATTAATAGCTGGTTTACTCATCTTTCTTTTTTTGGTACTTCCATGCAGAAAGCTCTTATTAATAAATACCTGGCATTGTCCCACAATTAAAACACTGATTGCTTTATTGCCTTCTCTTTTTTCTACTTAGAGGGTTAATATGTGCTATAGGTGCTATTGCCAAATGTGATTACCACATTATATACTGCAATCTCACATAATTTAAACAAAATGACAACTGATAAAAAACAATATTCATACCTTATATTAAGCTGTGGTTTAATTATGGTTAGTGTGGTTGGCTGCATTTACACAAAACATGTATGACATGTTGAACCATAGAAGTGTCATTAATTATGTTTAAGGAATGGCACTGGATGGAGTAAGTTGTCTGCATTCTGCTGGAGTATTTTAATGTGAGATGCACAAACTTTAATAAAAGGTCTTGCTGATAACATAATTGAATGACTTTACATTTTTTTAAAAAACCTGCATTGCTATTAAGCAAACTGGTATTAAGACTCGGTCTCTACTAGATCCTCCTAAAAAATTGCAGGAATGATTTAAAGTATGACGTAGATTGGGACATTGGGGTGGGGGTGCGGAGCAGGGAAGTATACCTTCAATCTGTGACTCCTTTTCTATTTTTAAAAATGTATTGCTGGGGAGATTATTTGCTATTATAGATCATCACCAGGTTAA